CGAATGTGACGAGCCTCTTCATGTTTGTCGACCTGATGGGCCAGGTTTCACAGCCATATAGGAGAGTTGAACGGACGGCTGCGTTGTAAACTCTGCCCTTGAGGGCGAGAGTAATGTCGCGTCTGCGCCAGAGGTGGCGGAGATTGGCAAAAGCACCTCGAGCTTTTGCTATACGGTTCGTAACCTCATCTTCAGTCCCACGGGTGCTAATATAGCTGCCCAGGTACTTGAATCCCTGAACGATTTCTAGCAGATCACCACCAAGCGTTAGCGCAGGGTTGGGTCCCTGCCAATCTTGGAGAAGTACTTTGCATTTCGATGGAGCAAAGCATAGCCCAAAACGATTGACAGCCAGCGCTAATCGGTCCAGTGCTGTTTGGCATGTTTGGGAGCTGTCACAGATTAGGGCAATATCGTCCGCATACTTCAAGTCAAGAATTCGCTCACCAGGAAGTAGCTCCACACCTTCTAGGTCGTGTCCAGCGAACGCTGTTTCTATGACTTCATCAATAGCGAAGTTGGAGAGAAAAGGTGACAGCGGGCATCCTTGTCTCACACCGCTGGTGATACTGAAGGGTGGCAAGAGTTTGCCATAAACCCTCACCCTGCCCGAACTATGTGCGTACAGCGCTTTGATAATGTTTACATATTTACCAGGCACACTTTTCCTCATCAGCAGACAGTCCCAAAGAGCACATTGATCGACTGAGTCGAAGGTACCTTTGATGTCAAGAAACACGACAACGGGACGGCAGTTTCGATAATGGACGTCATCTTGGTCAGCAGGAGGTTCCATGCTTCCTCAACACTCAGGGATTGTGAGATACTCCAATCTTCCGAACTTGCCACAGCATGTAATCTGGGTGGATCTGTACGGCGAAATGCTCTGTGCTCAGTGATGGTAAGACGTGTCCACAAGGAGACTACTGTGTGGTCAACGTTTTGAATCGTTCTCCGAGCTGAGTAATTTAATGTCAAACGTTTCACCACTTCCCTCAGTGGCATCTTCAGTGTACAGCTCCGCAGGGGAAATCTCACGGAAAATGTCGTTGGGACGTAGCGTTTGAAAATAGCCTCGTCGATCTGTGTCCCGTGACCTCTGTTTGTTCGATACTTAGCCGTCCAGCTTCACGCTTTCTCAGCTGTAAGTACACGGGATCGAGATCAATGCGGAGGTTCAGGGAATTCTCCGTAGAGAACCATGCCTCGAGGAATTCCCTTCCTTTTCTTGTCCCTCCGTGCGCCAGAATTTTTGTTTTGTCCCAGTTAACATTGTGTCCTTCCTCATCCAGGTGTGCTGAGATCTGTGACGATACATAATGATATCGACACGCACGCTTGTGCTCTTTTATTCTTGTGGATAGTTTTCTCCCCGTTTGACCTACATAGTCTTTGTCGCAATTCTCGCATTTTATCCTGTAGATGACATTTTGGTGTTCTTGTGCCTCCAGTCTTTCTTTAGGTCTAGATAATATTCTTTTCAAAGTCCCAGTTGGTATGTGAGCTATCGTCAGGTTGTGCGGTTTGAGGAGTCTGGCTGTCTTTTCCGATATGTTTTTGATGTACGGCAAGGCGATGTGTTTCGTCGTCGTTGGTGCAGGTGTGGTAGTTGTGCTCCTTCGGTTTAGGTGTCTTCGGATGAAACTGCGTGGGTAGCCGTTACGAATAAAAGACCTAAACAGATGTTCTTCTTCCTTACGTTTGGCCTCTGCAGTATTGCAATGCGTTTCTATCCTACGAAACAGGGTCCGTATACAACTTATTTTGTGACACTTAGGATGATTGCTGTTAAAGTTTAGGATTTGGTCGGTGTGTGTTGCTTTTCTGTAAACTGATGTCTGTAATTCGCCTTCTACCGTTCTGGTGACCAGCACGTCCAAAAAGGGTAGTTGGTTTTCCACCTCCTCTTCTATGGTGAAACAAATGCCTTCCATTGCATTGTTAAGTAGGTCTTGTGCGGTCTGTAGCTGGTTGCGTTTGAGAATCACAAACGTATCGTCAACGTATCGCACCCATAATTTCGGACTAAGGACTGGGAGTATATCCTCTTCCAACTTCTGCATGACGACTTCTGCAATGAGTCCAGATATGGGGGATCCCATTGGGGCTCCTCTAACTTGCTCGTAGAACACTCCGTTGCATTTGAAGTAAGTAGTAAGACACTTCAGCCAAGTGGTTGGAGTTTCTCTAAGTCGCAGACGTCAGTGAGCATCAGAGTGAAAACCAGATCATGGATGTTTGATGTCTGGCCCGGGAGCATCTGCGTTGGAGTAGAGATGTGCTGAATTAGATCGCATTCCTGAACAACGTCGAAAAGCTCCCTCTCGAAGGAATCTTGCGGAAGGTCACAATGAAAAAGGTTTCCATTGATACTGGGTGCATTGAAGTCACCCACTAGTAAACAGTTTCTGTCTCTGCCATTGGTTTTGATTGAGTCCAGAAGACGAGAGCCTGAGCCCGAGGGAGCTCTGTAGGCAACTCCAATCGTGAGTGTTTGATGGTCATCATGGATCCGGCACCAAAACATTTCTGAGGCAGCGTTATTGTCGGAGAACGCTTCAAGGATGTGCACTCTGAGGCAGTCTTTCGAGTAGAGACTCACTCCTCCTCCGGTCCTCCCACCAGTACGATCAGCTGGTGAGTGTTGATATCCCGGTATGCTAATTTCTGTTTCCAAGACCTCAGAGAACAGCCAAATCTCTGTAAATGCCAATAGATCTGTATGATGTTCAGAGATAGGAAGTGGAATCTCGTCAAGTTTGTTCCTGAGGCTTCGCACATTGGCAAGTATTACTCGCAGACTTCTGCGTCGGCGGACTGGTTAGCAGAAAAACTGGCCATCAGCGCGCTCTCGGCATTTTCTTCACTACGCGAAAATCCACAATATGGAGATCAGTTTCACCACCGGCTCTACGCTTGCGTAGTTCATTGACAGCTTGTTTCATTTTAACCATCTTCCGAAAAGAGGTCTCTCAGGACGGAGGATCTTTCATCCTTAAGGCGCGAAATGCGCCTGAGGATGCGGCGACATTCTTCTCCGTATTGACAGACGACTTTAAGGGGGCGGAACTTCGTAGGATGTTCCTGCTTTCTACCTAGGCGGAAGGCTGAGACGATGTTGATGCCGTGCTCCCCTTCGTTGAATAGAATGGATACCATTCGTTTGAGGAATGCCTGATCGTCAAGGCTCCTTTCAGCTGGGATCACTTTGTCAGATTCTGGAACATTTGTAATAATGAAATATCGTTCCCTGTGAGGTCTGTTTTCTCTCGGTTTCTCTGGTTTTGAGGCAACCGGTTTTTCGGTTATCAATTTCTCAAGTCGTGTGATTTTAACTTAAACACGCTTCAGTTGCGTTAACATTGAATTAGCTTTTGCTTTGTCCCCGGTGGCTGCTTTCCTGGTTTTTTCGGTTCGGGGCATGGTTTCCGCTAGCCACATTTTCAGATCCAGTGCGTGCCGCCGCCGATTAGGTTTTCGGCTTGGTCGCATTCCCAGCTGCAGCTTCCTGGGCATTGTGCTCTGCCTCATACAAAAGTGCTCCCGCTGATGAAGCGGAGGAGGGTCGATTGCGATTGTGCATGGGGATGGCGGAAGGAGACATAAAGGATGAGGCAGTTGGCGGTGCAGTGTTCGTCTCGGTCCTTTGCGTTGAGGTCAGACAGGCCAGAAGGGACTTGTCACAACAGTGCGGCACTGATCACAGTGGAACGTAATGCCGGAGGAAGCCGTTCGTTTTAAGCATTCATACAGGTCGGGTTCGATATTGCAACAGGTTGTGTGGGCCCATCCTTCACACAGGCCACATTGCACGGCCTTAGCTCGGGTGGTGACAGTTTTGCCGCAGCTCAGACACTTAGAGGCCATTGTTTCGTGAGGGCTCGACAAATCCCAGATTGAGATTAATACAAACTCAGAAGCCAACGAAAAGCGCATGGGTCACCGGCTACTATTCACCTCTCCTTGAGTACGGTCTACCGGCTACGTTTCCGCTTTCAGAGCTAGAATGTACCATAATAGAAAGTGTCCAGAAACGTGGCTCAAACTGTCTTCGGACTTCGGGGTTTCACCTACTCTCCGTCTCCAAGAGATGAATCTCTTCTCACTGGACTACCGTCACCGCCGTGGAAACGTCTTCACCAGGCGCATGCTAAGAGAGGAACTTGTAAATGAACTGCGGCAGTTTTTCCAACTCAACATAGAAGGGCCAACATGAGGATGTTCCGTGTCCGCTCCGCCGTCCCCTTTTCTACTCGGGTGGTAAACGACTGGAACAGCCTCCCAGCAACCGTAGTCAGCGCACAGACTGAGGAAAGTTTCAAGCGGCTTTTGAACTTCCATTTGCGCAAAAGGTCTGGACAGCACTGTTCCTCTGCGACTCACCTGCTCACTTGTGGACTGTTTGGTCGCTAAGGCACACTTGCTTCTCGTGCTGATCTGGAGGCGACGGGACTAACACATGACTTCCCTTCTGCCCTCTATAACTCAATGAAGTGTGCTTGCTTGTTCTTCAATTGTGAGTTTTTGTCTAAGATTGTCTTTTTCCTCCGCACTCGAACTTATTAGCTAACGGTCCTCTACAGTGTCGGAGTACTTGCGGAACATCGTACAAACAACAAACGGAGAGGTCCAAATTAGCTACAGGGGCGAACATTTTCACAACTTGTGCATTACTATGCTGGTATTGACCTCCCTCTAATTTCCTATATTAGAGTACAGCCGAAACCTTTGAATGCCACGTAGATGCAGATTAGCAGAATATGTTTCCATACTTGCGGTGATTACCGCAATCATAAACTAAGTGAACCTTGCCGGAAGGCAATATCCAATAACATTCGTGCATTTAACACAGGCGGCTCTTGCTGTTGTCTCTTTTTGCAGAACGATCAATCGGCGCATTGACCCTGGAGGCTTAACTTATCTAACCATTCCTGTTTCTTTTGCAAGATGAATACTGTGCCAATCTCGCCTGCTTCTTGTTTCCCTCTCATTTTTCTCTAGTGATCATTGTGGAATCCGGTTATCATAAATTTCCTCGCTTACGCGGCCCCTTACAATTGGCTCTATGGTTTCAGTGGACGACCCCTGTTCTTTACTTACTCATGTCAGGAAGTGTTTCATGTCTGCAGATGATTCGGGATTTTGCGAGTTATTGCTTTCTAAGCATGAGACAATAACTAAGGATCAACGGAATATTTTCTTAGACGAAGGGCAGTACGTTAATTTCATTTCGATGAGTATTGTAGTGAAGGCTTCTCAGTGGACTGTGATGCCGAAAACAATGCCAGATTCTCACCCGAATGTCCCTTTTTCGACTTAGTTGGTCAGTCCCGTTTCTCTTAATTTTGTGCGTTACTTATTTCAGAAAATTTATGGACAGATAGGTCGGTGGATACCTTGTCTGACTACCCTGATCTGAGAAGCACGCCATCAAGCATGACGAGGAACTTGACAGGTAAGGTATTCGGCCGTATTCCTTTACGGTTTAAAGTTTATCCGGTGTCTACTTAGATGCGTTTGCTGCTTCATTATCATGTAAAGTCTATAGATGTTGGTATACACTGTGTATGCACTGTCATACGTGGCATAGTATTTCCTGACCCCTACACTTTTTAAATTTGAGTTGCGGCGCCATCTTCGCGGTTTTTATATCAACGCCGTCGTGCGTCATATTCACTGAGCACTGGTTATTATTTTCAGTTGTACGCTCCCTGCTGAATGCAGCTTTGTTTCATCTCTCTATCGCTGCCATTGATGTTTGACGGATGTGGCTATCGTTTACTCATACCTGTCTTGTATTGGTTGTACAAATTTCTTTACACCCAATTTGTTGTATTCTTTGTCCCGCCATTTTTGACATCAGAACTTGTTTTTGTCGCGGCGAGACTGGACCTTAACGTGGTGCAGTGATTTGCGTGCCCCAGCGATTTATTTAGCTACGCTGGATAGTGCTTTTTGCACCTTCAGAGCCACTCATACTAGATTGGTCAATGGTTAACGGCCAGGCCAACTTAGTCTCCTGACCCAGGTTGTTGGTTGCAGTGACCGCGGCTCCATATTCCTCAAAACGGAATCCCTGTATTTTACTACCAAACACACTGCCTTGTGGTACGGTTTTTAAACCAAAGGCTTTGATTGAGAACTCATTATCGTTCTCCTGTCTAGGCGTGAGCAACTTGACATTATCCTCCCCACGCATTAGCCGGCTCTTAGCCTTAAAAAGCACAAGCCTATCCTGTAATCCGAGGGCGCAGCTTCGAGCCTGCATAGGGACCGGCCGACCCTCGCAGTATCCTTAGCCCACGTGCGACTGGTTGTGGTCGCGCAGCAGCGAAACGTCGGTACTGCGTACCGCCGTATTGCTCATGACATGCCCACGCATTACAATGGTCTACTCTTTAATTTCTAGCTGCTTGGACCGTCGCAGAGGATAATCAACGGTGCCGTATCTACTGCATTGAGCAGGGTGGAAATGGGTAAAGATGCTACTACCAAAAACTTCCTCCCTTCTTATACCCCTTCTTACCGCACTTCATCTTTATCATCTCGCTCCAAATTCACCCTTAATCCCACCTGTTTCCAGCCCTCCAATTCTCGGCCATCCCTACCTTGCTTCCGTAGTCTCTTGTCTTCTTGTTTCGTTTAAAACGTAATCGCAGAGCGTCGCTTCGGTCCAATCGACAAGTCCATGTTCAACCAAGCGAATAACCTAAGTTCATCCGCTTCTCTTTGCAGTCCTTGATCCGCGCTATCATCGCTGTTGCTAAGCGTGCGCACTTTGTTGTGAATCGTTCAACAGCTGACACCCGCCCGATCGATACTTGCTGTTTACCCGAGACCAACCTGCAAAACCCGAGCTCCGTGCTACTCTGCGATCTCCTTCATATGATCCTGGTGGTACTTCCTCACTTTACCTTTCCGGAAATGATACAGCTTCAAATACCGGTTAAGCCGGTGTGGAGCTTGCTCTGAACCGCCGGGCTGAAGCAGGTAGCTTGAATCCCAGTCAACAGTCGGATGTGCACCATCCGACTGGCTAGCCAGTTTAAAATTTCGAAGCCGCGCAGAAGCAAACTGTATCTGTTTGTCATCGCTGCCTGCGCATCCACAAACGTAACGCCTAATCAGTGAAAGATTACTTCTAACAACAACTAAACGCACTTCTTCGTTACAGAAAAAGTACTGATACTGTAGTGCTGGCTCGTGATCTGAATGCCCCGCTCGGAATGCTGTCCAATGATGAACTGCATCCGGGCGGCCAACATGGTTTAGCCCCCCCCCCTAATGATAACGGTGAGCGGTTGTTTCACCTGTGGGAAGATGATCGTCTATTTCTCGCGAGCACTAACTTTGGCCACAGAACCCGCAGAAGGGTAACATAGCCTTCATCAGCCTTGGGCCAGTCCTAGACGCAAATCGATCACATCGCGAGTAGTTACCATTGGAGAGGCTGTGTCCAAAACAGTCGCTCGATTTGGAGCACGAACGTGGACTCCAACCACTCACTTGTATGTGTCGACCTGCGCGTACGTTTCGGCAAATGTCCGCAATGACGCTGGGCGCGTATAGATGCTTGTCAACTGGTAAAGCCAAGTGTTCTAAATACCCATCAAAGTACACTGGCATCCGAGCTGAGTAAGCGCTCACTGAAAACGGTAGAAGATCATTGCTCGCAAACCCGCTAAACGTTATAAGCAGCAGGCGTGTCCTGATGTGGCAAATCCTATTGTCAATCTGGACACTTGTAGTCTTTACGCAGTCTGGAATTTCTGAATGCTCGCCGACCTGTTCCTTCAGGAAGCGAACACAATGAGACTCGCAAAGATCTCTGGGCACAACTTCGTGGTCTTACATTGGAGATGGACACAGTCGCTGCTGTTAGTACACATCGTAAGTTATCCCGTCTAATAAGCGAAACGGGCAGCAGGAGACGTGGTGTTAGCGAGACTATGCGCGGCGAGAGTGGATAGCCGATCCATATCTTGTCAAAACATTTGGAGCGCTAGGCCGAACACTTTGAAAACCAGTTGACTCACCCCAAGTAATCTTCTTTTTCCGGCATTGATCTTCCTTCTCACTGCGCCATCCTCTTGGACCCGCCATCACGCGCAGAACTCGAACGTGAGATCAGAGTTGAAATCGAATAAGACTGCAGGAACAGATATACTTTCTCCAGCCTTCTACAGGTTCGGGTTACCTGCTCTTATTTATAGTCTGCGCAATTTTTCGTTGTTATGGGAGCAGGAGACTGTTCCAACAAACTGCAACCCCTCCGCTATAGTTCTACTTTTCAATGGAGGCTTATGTTTGGAATGCGGCAACCATGGGGGACTGAGTCCGACATCTATCTTCTATGAGTTGCCTGCCTCTGTCGTTCACCATAGATTGCCTGTCACCGGTGGAAACCAGCTTCCCGAAGAGCAAACCCCATTTCGTCGGAATCCATGCTGCATTGACATCTTCACTTTGCACCACTTATTGGGGAACCGTCATCTATAGTCCTCTTCCGCATCACCAAAGATACCTTCCATACAGTGGATCAATTTGCCCTTTGTGACTGATTGGAAACAATACGTAAACATTATCAGAACACTTTTTGCGCATAGTTCAAGCATAGTAATGGTTTACAACAAGCTTTCGCCGCCCTTTAATCTCCTCAGGAATGTTAGCTAGGGTTGCTCTTCCTCATTTTCCTTTCTTAACTTCATCATTGATGAAGTCATGGAAGTTGCATTCACTGGACACTATGCAGATGATCGACCTCTTTACTTAGAGTATGCTGATATGCTGATATTGCCCTAACCTGAGACAGATCACAAATGTGCCAGGCAGCACCGGACAAAGTAGCACTGGTTATCAGCCTTTTCGTGCTTTGTTTTGCATCTTAGAAATGCAAAGCTTTTCTCCAAGCCAGCTGTGACAACATTACTGGCCTCGATTCTGGTTCGTCTCCCCACTATGGAACGGGAATGTCGGATTAGGGAAGAGCAGGCAGGTTTCCGCCCAGGACCATATATTCACTTTGCGGCAGGTGCTAGAGCAGCGCCACGCAGACCGACAATAGCTGTGTTCATCGATTCCAAGAGTGCGTCTGATTCAGTCGATCGATCGATTCTGTTCGGAATACCTGCTCGGAAAGGTGTTCCCACGAAATATGTGAACATCCTACGTGCTTTATGCTCGAACACTACAGGCCGCGTCAGGGTCTACGGTGGCCTATCGGATAGCTTTCCAACCATAAGTGGCTTTCGTCAGCGTTGTCCGATTTCCCCATCGCAATGAGGCTGAACCTTACCGTGGTGCGATGGTTTGTGTGCCTCAGTGATCCATTGAGCTATACTGGGTGGTGCATTTTTGCACCTTCAGAGCCACTCATACCAGATTGGTCAATGGTTAGAGGCCAGACAAACTCAGCCTCCTGGTCCTCCAGGTTGGGGGTTGGAATGAGGGTGGCTCCTTATTCCTTAAAACGGACTCCTTGTAGCCCAGTGCCAAACCCGCTGCCTTGCGGTCAGGTTTTTTGAACCAAAGGCTTTGGTTAAGAACCCTAATCGTTCTCCTGTCTAGGTCTGGGCAACCTGACAGTATCCTGCCCACGCAATACAATGAATCACACTTCAAACAAATTTCTGATGCTCTGGCCACCACAGAGGATAATCAACGGTACCCTATCTGCTGCATCGGGCAGGGTGGATAGGGGTTTGGATGCTACTGCTCAAGCCTTCCCGTCTTCTTATTCCCCCTCTTACGCTTTTTCACTCTTATCGTCCCGTTCCAGCTTCACTTTTATCCCCCCTGTTTTCAACACCCCAATTCTCGGCCCTCCCCCACCTTGCTTCAGTAGTCGCTTGTCTTTTAGTTTCAACTCACATGTGAACGCGGAGCGTCATTCCTGCCCTGTCAACAGGCCCATGTCCAAGCAAGCGGCCCATTCCAGTTCATCGACTTCCATTTGGAGCCCTCGATCCTCCTTCAGATTGGCATGCCTCAATGTTCGCACATTGCTTCAGATCGGTCAACAGGCAGCACTTGCTCGAACATTAGAGACCCTATCGATCGATATCTGCTGCTTATCTGAGACCCGCCTGCAAGACTCGAGCTCTGTACTCACTTTGCGATCCCCTTCAGATGACACTAGCAGCACTTTCTCATTGCGCCTATCCGGTGACGATGCAGCTTCGAACACCGGTCAAGCCGGTATTGGTATTGCCCTGAGTCTCCGGGCTGAAGCTACTCTGGTTGATTGGATTCCAATCAGTAGCCGGATGTGTGCGGTCCATTTGGCTGGCTCGTTCAAATCTTCGAAGTCGCGTGGGACTAACAGGTGTCTATTCGTTATCGCTGCCTATGCACCGACAAACTGTAGCAATGACTCGGTAAAAGACGACTTCTATCGTCAACTGAACGAGCTCCTTAGCCACAGAAGAAGCTTGGACACTGTAGTGCTGGCTGGGA